TGTTTGTGTATCTGTGTGTGTCGGAATGACAGGCGCGAGCTGATGCAGCAAAGATAAAAAATAAACGACATATAGAACAGCAGTATGTTAAAGGATGCGGCGCGCACACTCTATTGGCGTTGTGTAGCACGTCCTCCTCTTGGATGTACATGTCACACCGGAAATGTGTCTTCCTCATATGCCTGTGATTGTGGTGGGATGTTGTCCCACGTGGAATTGAAGTCAAGGGTGGCAAGACAAGGAGGGAGAAAGGGGCTAACAAATGGCAAAGCAACCCATTGGTAGAGGTGTACGAAAGAGAGAGAGAGGCAGACAGACAGACAGACAGACAGACACACACACACACACACACAGACAGACAGACAGACAGACAGACAGACAGACAGAGAACCGCACACACGGCACAGAGAGAGAGACAGACACAGACAGACGCACACACGCACACACAGACACACACACACGCACACACGCACACACAAACAGACACAGAAGTCAATCGAGCATCCATGGGTCAGTGGAACATGCGTGTAGGCACGAGTAGGTGGATAGGCAACGTACCTCGCGAAGGGCGCAGGACAGCAAGTCCTCGCCTTCCTCAAGCTTGCCCTTTGGGAACCCATAAGTGGTGGCATCGTGGCCCTTGACCAGCAACACTTTTGTTCTTGTTGGGTCGACCAGCGCCACCCCGCACGTCACCTTCTGCCAACCCCGCTTCACAAACGCTGTCCTCAAATGCATGTATGTGTGTGTGGAAGGTTGGTGTCGCAGGCAGACGTGCATGGAGTTGCAGAGCAAGTGGAGCAAGCGCAGATGCATCGCAGATAGGATACAGACAGCACACGGCATCGCACCTTGGTAGCGCTTCCAACCGTGCTTGGCTTTGGGTTGTAATGCTTTGATGTACTTGAACACCAAGCGTACAAACTCCTCCTCTGACAGGTTGGGCAGTCCTTTCTGGCAGTGCGCCAGTGCGCACGCAATCAGAGAAAGTGTGGTCGGGTTCCCACGGGACATCCAACATCAATCAAACGTGTGGGTCAACTGCACGCCAACGTTGCACACACACATCACACACATCACACACACACACACACACACACACACACACACACACACACACACACACACACACATCACACACATCACACACACACAACACACACACACACACACACACACACACACACACACACACACACACACACACATCACACACACACACACATCACATCACACACATCACATCACACACACACACACACACACACATCACACACACACACACATCACACACATCACACACACACATCACACACACACACACACACACACACACACACACACACACACACACACACACACACACACACACGTGTCACGCATCACTCACCTGGCCCTGGTGGTCGTCGATGTAGTTCCACCACATGTGCTGTATCGCTGCTCCAATGACATCCTCATCCTCAAGCTGTGCTGCGTCGTGCGGCATGTGGTGCACAGCAATGTCGCACACCACATCCCTCAACTGCTGGCTTTTGTTGTCGCTCATCGTTGGTGTTTGTGTTTTGTTGGAGAGAGAAATGAATGCACTGACGATACGTCAAAGGTGCCTTGCTGTTGTTCCCCCCCCCCCACACACACACACACACACCTACCACCTCCACGCCACGGTCTTCTCATTTGCTTTAACGGTGATGTACACAGCGTATATCAGGTATCACGCACGCACGCACTCGGGCAAGCAGGCAAAGGGGAGAAAGAACGACAAACGGCAATCGAGGCAGGCAGGCAGGCAAATGAGAGCGAGACACACGGAGAAAGAAATACGCAGGTACATGTGTATCATCGTGTCATGTCGCACACACAAGGTGAAGGAACATCCACTGTTCACCCGTCTCCCTCTTCCTTCCCCTTTATGGGATCACACACGCCCGCCAGCCAAGGACCAGAGCCAAGCTTCGCTCCTCCCCTCAAAAAGAAAAAAAAAAAACGCCTGCCGCTAGATCATCACCATCGCTCAGAGACTTACGACCGCCACCAGCCTCACCCCCCGCCCTCACCACCTGATGAAGCAACCAGCCCACCACCACAAAGACAACAACACCTCAACCGGAACGAATAGCTGCTGCTGCTTCGACTCACCAACACCACCACCACCACCACCACCACGCACGGCTCACCAGACCCCTGGCTCACGTGCAATCACTCGTCGTCCTCGGAGGGGCGGCGTGCGGGCGGGTTGGCGGGGTTGGCGGGCGCTGTTCCAACAACGCCGGTTGGCGGCGCGGCCGGCTGTTGGGCCTGAGGCAGCTTTGCAAACTCCTCAGAGAGCGCGGCCTTCTCCTCTGCAATGCGCTTCTCGTGCTGCTCCTCAGACTCGTTCTCGGGGATCTGCGACTTGGCCTTTGGGGAGCCCTTGAGCGTTATCACCAGCACGCTCATGTTGTCGCGGCTGCCAATTTCAAGGCAGTGGTCGAGCAGCTTCTCTGCAATCTGGATCGTGCTGTACCCGCGCTGCACAGGTGGAAGCGGTCGTGAACACGAGGACAAGGGAACAAGGAAGAACGTGGCATGTGAGAGAATGAGCGTGAAAAACGTGAGGTGTGAGAACGCGTTGCAGGGGGGGGGGCAGGAGACGAAGACAAGATGACACGAGTGCTTGAGGTGAGTGAGTGGCACGCGTGTTGAGTGCTGTGAGTGCGAAAGCATATTCTCGAGACATCATTCAGCTCACACTCAATCCCCTCACTCTCGCTTCCCGTGCCCGCACCTCGAGGTAGAAGGTGACAAATACGCGTATTTGGTCGTTTGTGCAGACATCCCAGATGCCATCGCAGGCCATGACGAGGAAGTTGTCCTGGTCTGTGCGCTCAATCACAGTCATGTCAGCGGCGGCGCTGATCTTCTGGTCCTTGGCCGGCAGGTCCGACCTGTCTTTGTACTCGTAGTCACCCAGCGCCCGCGACACCGCAAGGTTGCCGCACACCCGGCCCATCTCAACAAAGCCGCCGGCCTTCTGCTCTCGTGGATAGGTGCGGCAGGAAGCGGTGTTTTGTGCGTGTGCGTGTGTGTGTGTGTGTGTGTGTGTGTGTGTGTGTGTGTGTGTGTGTGTGTGTGTGTGTGTGTGTGTGTGTGTGTGTGTGTGTGTGTGTGTGTGTGTGTGTGTGTGAGCGAAATGTGGCTGCATGTCGATGGATGCAAGCAGTCCACAGCCGCCACAACCGCCACAGTCACCACAGTCAAACGCCCGCCCAATGCAGCGCACCTTGACGCGCTCCTGCTCCGAGGCGTTTGTGGGCTTATGGTCGGAAGAGGCAAACTTGACCACGTTGTTGCTGACGAGAACGACGCGGGAATCGCCTGAGCAACAGGTAAGCAAGGAGGCCCTTGCGTGAGGATATCATCATGGTGATGAACGGGAAAAGCGGCCAGGTGTCACAGAGCAAGCTGCGCTGCCAAGGCACAAATGAGAGCGACGCACCGCAGTTGCCAAAGACAAAGTGGGTGGGAGTGATGAAGCACGTGACGACGGTGGAGCCGCTCCTGTCGTGGCCCTGGCGGAGCCTGGCCATGCCAGGAGCAGTAACGACAATGATGAGCATCACAGAGAAGACGCATGGAAATGCAATCATCACGCGCCAACGCAACGTGTACACAAGAACACGCCTGACACACGCACACACAGGGAACAAACAAGCAAGAGCAAGCAAACAAAGCAAAACAAACACGCAGACGTACTCTTCGTGTTCCTGTTTGATGAGGTCGTCAAGGTCGAGAAGACCCTGCTTCGTCGCCGCCTCGAGCGTCTTGGCATTCTGAGCATGCGCAACATGACACATACAGATCGCACAAGCAGGCACAGCATGAGACAGTGCCGGCATGAGGATGCTCGAACAAGCGAAAAAGCGCCTTGTCCGTTATACACAAACACACAACACACAAACACACTCGCAAACACACACAGACACACACGCACACTCGCAAGCACACACACACACTCTCTCTCTCGCGCGCGCGAGCACCATGCGCACGTACCGTCTTGTCCTGTTCTGTTTTCGCTTCCTTGAACGGCTGTGATGAGAGAATCGCTTTCATGATCCCTGCAGACCTGTGGAGTTTGCGACAGCGTCCTTGCTTGGTGAGAACATATGCATGTGCATGCGCATGTGTATGTGCATGTGCATGTGTGTATGTGTGCATGTGCATGTGTGCTGGCCGGACCGGTACAAAAGCAACGGCAGACTGACGCCAAAGGGGCGATTGAGACACGGCTGGTGCGCACGACATACCCAGCTTGTGCGACGGTTTTCCCTCCATGCCCATCAAAGATGGCGAAGAAGGCTGTGTTGGGGAGCTCGGGGATGTTTGTCACGTGGGTGTGCGCATCCTGTTTGTGTGCAACGAGATGCGATTGGGTGAGCCTTTCTCGGCGCACGAAACCATGGGGAGGGGAGCGTGGATAGCAAGACAAAGGCAGAGAAAAAGACGCACGCAAACACGCACACGGACGCGCACACGGACGCGCACACGGACGCGCACACGAACAAATATGTACAAGGACACACACACGCACGCAGACACACAAACGAATGTGTACACGGGCATGCGCACGCGCAAGCCAAGACAAGACGGAGCGATCCAGAGCGCGCAACACTTTCATGGAGTCTGGACAAACGAGCAGTTGATGTCAGACACCGGGCAGGTGTACGCACCTCCATGTGAATGCGCCAGCCCTGCATCGAGCTGAGGCCATAATGCGCGCCCTCGCTGATGCCGTTGAAGTGCGACTCCTTTTCTGTGTTGGGTTTGTCAAGAAACTGTCCCATTGCGGCGGGTTGGTGGTCTAGTAGTTGGCAGCAGCAGGACACATGCGTGAGCTGCATCGGGACAAGCGGAAAGCCGCGAGATTTGTCGTTTGGTGCAAGACCGCGAGAGATCGGCGGTTGGAGAGAAGGATCAAACCGTGCGGCGAAAGCAGATGCAGCAGCTCAACCACGTTACCTGTGTGAAGAGGATGAAGAGGGCGGGATCAAATCAGCAGATGGATGTCAATCTCGACTGCTTTGGAGGCGGAGTGCTGGAATGCGATGGTGGTGGCGCAAGCAGCGAATCAGCAACATGCACGAAATGTGAGTTGTTGGATCCAGAATCAACACACGAGGTCAGCGGATAGGCGTGAGACAGAGAAGAAGGAGAAACAGAAAGCAAAGAAGCATCAAGATCGCTGCCCGTGTGGGTGGACGAGAGATCGGTCAAGTAAATGGCACATCAGTATCATCATCATGGTGATGCGCACAGAAACTTGGGCACGATCTTTTGCTGACGACCAACAATGTGTGTGTGTGTGTGTGTGTGCGCGCTCTCACAACGAGATTGTGGGTTGGTCGTGGGCAGGTGCGGGGGATGAAAGAGACAACCCAGACAAGCCAACGCACAAGGCCACGCGCACGCACCTGTGTAGGCCGTGACAGAGAGCAACCAGGCGACCGCAATGCAGGTAGGCGGAGAGGGCAAGCCGGTCAGCAAGTCTTGTGGTACCGTGTGACACGACGACGACGATGTCTTGCTCGTTTGGTCTTGCTCTGGTGGTGGTTGTGCGCGGTGTGATGGGGATGGGAGAAAAAGAGAGACGGAGCAGTGCTGTGTGTTGGTCAGCAGAGACCGAAACTTGTGAAAGGTGCCAGGGAATGGTAGCTGAAAAAATCATCATTTATTATGCTGAATGCATTTTATCATGTTCTTTGTAAGGGACATCCGATCCGGGGGTGCGTCTGCATTCCCGGTGGCCCACTCACCGCTCCTGAGATTGCTCCCCACCACACACCCAATATTCTGCCTTTTGAAAAACGTGTCTGACCCAAATAAACATTTTTGCAACGACCCCGTCCTCCCCACCACACTGCACAACCCCACTGCCCTCACCCACCAACCCCTCCCCACTCCAACGATGGCATCCATCCACACCACTCCCGATCAAATCTCTCCTGAAGACTTGGTCGATACCCTCGGTGCGCACTTGTCATCCCCACGTCTCTTGCCCACAACCAACAGCCTTCATGTGGTGTTCAAGTGTTCCCCTGCCTGGCTGTCCCTCACATGATCGCTTGACTTCACACAACAACCACCCTGACCTCCTCTTTCGTCTGTCCGCGACCGCATCACTGAAGAGTTACTGCCTCTGCCCGACGAATCCGCCAATGACACACACGGTGCGCAATGGCCCCATCCTGCCTGTGTCCGTATGTGCATGAGTGTCTATGTGTGTATCTCTGAGTGATTATATGTGTGCGCCTGTGCGTGCGTGTGCGTGTGTTTGCGCTCTTGCGTGTGTGTGTGTGTGTGTGCTTGTGCATGTGTTTGCGCTCTTGTGTATGTGCGCTCTTGTGTGTGTGTGTGTGTGTGTGTGTGTGTGTGTGTGTGTATGTGTGGGAGTGTGTGGAAAATTCGACAAGTTTGTGTGGGGATTCTGGAACTACGAGGACGATGGCGATATAATTACAATTAAAACTATAAAAAGAGGAAGGGTGACGTCAAGCAATAAAATCGGAAATTATCAGGTTAGTACAGCGATAAGTAAACGACTAGCATATGAACCGCAGGTTAAACAGCATTGGTCAGCAAGAACAAGATTTTAAGTCCGTAATAAAGGTTCCCGCGTATATCATGAAAGAATACTGCAAAGATAAGGGCTTAACCTCTCGACTCGTGTCAATGTGTACGATGTGTATGGGGGAGAGAATGCAGACGCAGTGGAGTGAGTGATAGTAGTAGAGGGAAGTGATGAGGAGGGTGCGTAATTCACGAACATAGATATCGACTCCATAAACGCAGGTAGAGTAGCAGACTCCGACAGACCATAGTGCATACCAGATTATGACAGTCGATTGTGCGCCAGTCGATGTGAATGAAAAGTAGTATGTATTTTAAACCATAAT